CTGCAATAAGTCCCTACTTTCCTGTCTTCAGGGAAAACACCCTAGGAAAGGGTGGAAAAAGTGGAAGGGGGATGCTGGATTCTTGGCCCCCGTGCCTGAGACAGAGCACGTGTCGTAAGGATTGGAGATCAGAGATTTCCTGTCTTTTGCATCTAGGGAACCACAAACCATAGGCTCGTTAATTCTGTTGTCTTCCTCCTGCTTTGCTCTTTTTTCTCGTGCTTTACAGACTAAACTGGCAAAGTTGGTGAGGAAATTACAGGGTGAGTTGTTTTTCTGTGAATGTAGGTCCGCATACCTCTAATGCCTTGATACTTACGCTCTCCATTTTTGGAGACGTTGGTGCACCTGGTGCCTCCTGAGACCGTGGCCCTGGTGAGAAGAAATCACTGTCCGAGCCCTGCCTATCCCTTCTCCTAGCGTCTAGTCTAGCACCGTGGCTGGCACACCGCAGGTGTTCAGGAAATGGTTGTGATTCAGTGAATGAATTCATGGATCTCTCTTCTCTTATCAGTCACTCTGGAGGGAAGCGACTGCCGAGTTCCCCCTGGGGATCGTGTATCATGACAGAGGGGTGGAAAATCCCTCTTTCTCTCAGTTCAGCTAAGATCATGTTTTTCAGAAGTACTCGTTCCTTGTAAACCCAGTGCAAGCAGAATAAACACCGAGTAGAGAAACAGGTTGGAGATTTTGTGGTATGACTCAGCGGCAGTCGGCTCTCCGATGGCTGGGCCAGCTCTGGCCTTTCCTCCCCGCTTTTCTCTCTGAGTTGAATTCTCAGGCTGCCAGGCTGAGGAGGGTTTGCGTTGGCAGGTTCTCTGCTTGTGGGGTTCTCTGTTCCCTAGGACTGCCTGCTTCCTGACATCACACCCTTGCTGGGAACTCACTCCCAGAATTCCTTCTCAGCTGCATCTCGTGGTAACCTTGGGGGTGATTCTTGTTAATTACAAATTTTTAAAAATTTAAATTTAAAAATTTAAAAATTTAATTTTAAAAATTTAATAGGACTTTGTTCACAGGGTACGAAACATTTATATAGTGAGTTGTACCTTGAAGAATCTCCCTCTCCTGTACCCCAGAAACCCAGTTCTCATTCAAGCACCCACAAAGATAATTATTATAACAGCAATTTAGTGCACTTTCTCCCAGACCTTCCTTAGGCATATGTAAGGAACATCGATATGGAAAAGCAGCTGGGGATATTCAACAGTTCATAGGAGGTCCACAGACTGGGTTGATCTGTAGGAGAATATCCCCTAACTTCAGGGAATAAAGTTTGCTAAAGTGTTTTGTTGCCCCACCAAATTTCCAGCAACAACTTCTGCTTCCTCCGTGTCCTTACTTGGGGAGATGGAGAAGAGGAGACCAAACCCAGTATTTATATATAATCCTCTATGTAATTTTTTTTTAATTTTTTTTTTCAACGTTTATTTATTTTTGGGACAGAGAGAGACAGAGGGGCAGAGAGAGAGGGAGACACAGAATCGGAAACAGGCTCCAGGCTCTGAGCCATCAGCCCAGAGCCCGACGCGGGGCTCGAACTCACGGACTGCAAGATCGTGACCTGGCTGAAGTCGGACGCTTAACCGACTGCGCCACCCAGGCACCCCATAATTTTTTAAATGCATACACGCTTCATGGTTTAAAAATCAAGGTGCTATTTTAGTTCAAAGGGCCTGTTGGAAACCAAATCACATTGCTCTTGCAGAACAGCAAGTGAAGAGAGCAGATTTGACAACTGAGTTCATTGATATTCTGTAAATAAAAATATATATATTCTTCCTTTTCTCTTATCTTTTCACAAGGTAGCGTATTATACACACTATTCTGTATCCTGCATTTAAAAAATTTTTTTTACATTTATTTATTTTTGGTAGAGAGAAACAGAGCACAAGTGGGGGAGGGGCAGAGAGAGAAGGAGACACAGAATCCGAGGCAGGCTCCAGGCTCTAAGCTGTGAGCACAGAGCCCAATGTAGGGCTCGAACTCCCAAACCGCGAGATCATGACCTGAGCCAAAGTCGGAAGCTTAACCGACTGAGCCACCCAGGCGCCCCTGTATCCTGCATTTTTAAAAAATTAATTTTTGTATCGTTAGAGTTCTTCCCTCTCTCTGTCTCTAACAATTGCATAAAATTCCATTGTATGAATGAACCACAATTTTTTATGAGCACTATTGGTGCCCATTTTTATTGATTCTTGTATTTTCCTGCAGCAAAAACTCTGTACACATATGCAGTGACCTTGTGTAATGCATAGCATGCCCAGAAGTCCGACAGGTTTTGTAAGGGACAGAGCAACTTACTGACACGCCTACCCGGGATAACAGAATGTTGGCTTCAGTGATCCGATGGGGTCAGTTCTGTTCAGCTAAGTCTAACAATAATACCTAGTGGACAGGGTTTTAAACTCAGGATAGATAAAAGGACAAGTGTCTCATTCTCTTACCATACCTGGTTATAACTGGTCCATGGTGCTTTAAGTATATAAAGTGGGTTGTTGTGCACATTCCTGTGCTGGTTCCCTCTCGGTAAAGGACTGAGGATCACCCTCATCAGTCTGCGGGAAGCAGCTCTCTGTGCTCTGTGGCTTGTTCCCATCCATCACCCTCCCATCGCTCCTGGTGCGGCTGCTCGTAGCTTCAGAGTCCTTTCTTCTGTGCCTCTGTGCCTTTGTCTTGGTGGTTATGTCAGGTTCACTCCTTAGCCTCTGCTCCTTTATCAGCTGATTTCTACCCCACGCTTTGTGTTCCCTTAACGCTCTGCAGAATTCTGGCTGTGGCCATGGCTTGCTGCAGCCCTCGCCTTACCATAAGGTGCTGTATCTCCCCCTCACTGGAGGCCCCAGCCTTTCTGCATGTCCTGATAGGTAGGGGAAGATACTTCTTGGATTCCTCACTTGGGTAACATCAGGATGCACTCAGAGTACCATTGTGAAATGTCCCTGGGCAGTCATCGCCTGTTTAACCATGTCTAGCCTCCATTAACAACTGTTACATTTGCATAGGTCCCTCCTCCAACGTGCTCCAGCAGGGTTTTCCATGGTTGTTGACCTTAAAGGACTACCCTTACCCCTGACCTCTTTCTCCTTCCATTTTACCCAAAGCATCTTCATGAGCACAGAGTTTCCCAGCACAGATTCCTCAGAACGCCAACTCCATAGCGTATTATTTCGTCTCAGAGCCGTGTCAGCCCCTCAGCATTATGGGTACCTGAGATGTGTGTGGGAAACTTCGTTTGAAGTAGCCCATTATTAGGACTTGGTTTTCTAAGTCCTTTTGAGGAAGCCTGGCTTCTTCACCTATGGTTTTGAGGCTTCCCAGTGGCCATGAAGACTTCCCAGTGGCCAGGAGTCAGAAGCAGCCTCTCTGACTCTTCCTGTTTGAGAGCCCCCATCTGGGGCTGCCCGCCAGGTTTCTGTTTTCTGTCTGAGAGACACTTCTAACCTCCAAGAGCAGCGATGAGCAACCTGCCCTCAGCCTCCTGACTGATGAAGGTTCCCCTGTTTCTGTCAGACCTGCCCACCATCTGGGAGAGCTCCTGGGTTGTGTTGATGGGGCAGCCTTCCAGGAGACTGCCATTAAATTGGATCTCAAGATGCGGTATCCACACAGGCACATTGTCTGTCTTGGGAAAAAGAAGGTATTTTCCGTGTGCCACCCGTGTTTACAGCTTTCCAGGGCTCTTTCTGGTGTGAGAATTGAGATCATGGGTGTCTCTTTCTCTTTTTTGATCCCGTTGCATCGATGATCTGCACATAATGATACCTCACTGTCACTTCCTGTTTCTCCAGGACACGGAGAACATGTGGGAACACATTTTGGGGGCGGGGGAGTTGATATCCAGCGGGGGTTGTCAGAAGGCTGAGCCTTTGCTCCTTAATGACCGTGGCTGGTGGGGTGAAACAATTTGAAGTCAATGAGGAGTGTACCCTCTAGGGAGCACGTTGGATCCGGAAAGCCAGTTACTCATGTTTTTAGATTCATTGCCTTATTTGGATCAAGTTAAAGAAAGATCAGTAGGGCGGTCCCATGATTTGTCACAAGGAGATGGGGACCTGGTGCCAACACCTCTATTTTTAAAATTCTTTTTTAGCTCTAAAGACTCTTTGAAATTATCCTGCGAGTGTATTTATTAACACACTATCGATCCATACCACCGAGACCTCATCTGTCTTGGTTGTTCACTTCCGTCCACCTGGTGCTGGCCCAGTGTCTGGCACGTCAAGGGAAGCTCAATAAACTGGATAAATAAAATCTGTTTTCCCTGTTGTAGCCCCCTTTGAACGACTGCCTCAGTCACTTGGGGGGGGTGGTAAGACCATCCAAACTATGGCACCATGTTGAATGTCTCTGATGGATTTGGAGGAGAGACAGAGTGGGATTATGGGGAAAGATGTTGAATTTGCAGAAGGCCTGGGTTTGAATCTTCACTCTGCCACTGGGGGCCTCTCTGAGCCTCTGTTTCTTTACTTATACTGGAGGATAATAATTGCCCTCCTCTCACACATACTTTACAGTTCTTCAATCCTTGGCTGAAGAATGCATGAAAAATATGTTTTAAACCATAAAGTCTACAAATATGGAAGATTACAAAATTATGGTCTTTCTCTCTTTCCTTTTCTTTCTTTTTTTTTTTTTTTTTTTTTTTTTTTTTTTTTTTTTTTTTTTTTTTTTTTTTTTTTTTTGCTTCCCATGAAGCCAGAGTCACCTAGCTTGCTTCTACCAACTCTATTAGAATTAGAATCTCCCGCGACTGCCCTCTGGCGATGGTTGTCTTTGTAGAGTGAACTAAGGAACAGATACCCTTTTAGGACTTCCATTGCCTGAATCCCATAATAACTTTGGTGCAGAGGTATTATTAGAGCCTAGCACACTCCTTTCTTAGACCTGGCCTTGGCCCCTATGCCACTGGGGAGCACTCTATCGTTGTATGTGTCTGTGAGTTAGGCACCGGGAGCTCTACTATCATGGGCTGCTTGATGGTGTTTCTCTCTCCCCAGGAGGCTGCTGAAGAGTGAACTTGGATCATTCATTACAGACTATTTCCAGGTAAGTTGTGTGAGTCTGAGTATCTGTCATTATAGTGCACATGGATACATGCACCTAAAGGGATGGCCAATACCATACACCTGGGCATTCCTTCAACATCCAAGATTACATATGCCGAGTCCCTGATAATGCACAGGGCCAGTGTGGTCCCTGCTTTTATGGAGATTACAGTCTTGGGCAGTGGTTCTCAGGCTTCTTGGTCATCCTTACACTCTTAAAAATGATCAGTTATTTGGGTTATCTCTGTCTTCACCGTATTGGAAACTGAACCTGAGAAACTTAAAAATATTTAAGTCATTTAAATAATAAACCTATTACATGTTAGTCTAAATAGCATTTTTGTGAAAAATAACTTTTCAGAATAAAAAAAATAGAAGAGAGGCATTATTTTACGTTTGCAAATCTCTGCACCATCTGGCTTCATAGAAGATAGCCGGATGGATCCTCCTGTCTGTTTCCCATTCAGTCTGTTGTGACATTGCGCATCATGCGGTCTCTGGAAACCTGCACGGTACACTGATGGAAGATGCAAGGAAAAGGGTAAATTGTGGCTTAGTGTCATTAAGGAACTAGTTTTGACCCTGTGGTAAAGGTCTGGGGATATGGGACCTCAGACCACACTGTGGGAACTGCTCCTCTAGCAACATTCCCTCTCACCCCCCGGGGATGGCATCTAATTCCGTGTAACTGTATGTACCCTTCAGCCAAGTGACTTCTTGTCGCTAAGCCTCCTAGTCTGTTCTGTTAAAGATGATTGGATCCGGCAATCTGACACCCCTCCTGCCCAAACACTCTTGTTATGAGGCTAATGAACTCAAGGTTCCAGACTCCCTTAGAGGATGGTTTATTTTTCTTTATTCATTTTGAGAGCGAGAGTGTTGTGTGTGCATGAGCAGGGGAAGGGCAGAGAGAGAGGGAGAGAGAGAATCCCGAGGAGACTCTGTGCTGTCAGCGCAGAGCCTGACCTGCGGCTTGAACTCATGAACTGTGAGATGCTAACCTGAGCTGAAATCAAGAGTCAGAAGCTTAACCAATTGAGCCACCCAGATGCCCCTCAGAGGATAGTTTCTAATCGACTGACACAAGTTGTTTTCCTGACTCCACCCACAGGCATGTGGGAGAGGGCATGGGGACGTTTGTTTGACAGTGAGTAATTGACTGAGTGATACTTTAGTGAAGTCAGAGTTACTACTTTTCCCCGCTCATTAGCTGAGTAGGTCTTGGGCAAGATGCCTCATTTTCCCCATCTGTAAAATGGGAACAAAAGCATGACCTACCTTAGAGATCGTTGTTGGTTTACGTGAAATAACACATGCAAAGCATTCAGCGCATAGTGTGGGTGTTGGGTGGGGGACAGAGTAGGGGAGTGGTCAAGATCGTGGCCTCTAAAGCCAGACTACCTGAGTTTAGTGCCCAGCATAGCCCATTACCACCTGTGTGACCTTGAGCAAGTTGCTTTACCTCTGTGTGTTTTAGTTTTCTGTTGTATAAAACCAGGGGTGTTAGGACCTAACCTTATAAGATTGTCGTGAAGACTAAATAAAGTGTTATTTGTCAAGTGCTCAGAACAGTGACTAGCACAGAGGAAGACAGAGTAATGCGGTTATTAAACTTAACTGTATGCGTATTTGTTATTCTAAAGTGTCGTCCAACCCTTTTAATGGGAAACTAACATAAAAATACCTAACATCTTGGTTTCAGGTTGGTGGTGCTATTCTATACCCACGGAGAACATACTTTTATTTAAGACAGGTTAAAGAATTTTTAGATCTTAAAAACAATACTGACATTCTTTTTTTTTCTTCCTTACCAACATTCGCGAAGCTTAAATTTTTATGTGCACTTTTAAAGAATGACAGATGTTAGTCCTTTAACACACACACACACACACACACACACACACACACACACACACACAGCAGAGAATGGCCACTATAAATATGGACAAAGCAAGACCCAACAGCAGCCTGGAATTCTATCGGGTCAGATGTCTCAGCTGCTTGAAAGAAAAAGCCCCTGTCCAGGGAGAGACAAACATAAAGATTAAGAAAGAGGTAATTAGTTACAAATGTGAATCATCTCAGTTGCCCTTGACTCAAAGGTCAGCCTTGTCCTCAGTCTCTTCTCTTGCTGTCTGTACTGATTGATTTTTAAATCCAACTACAGAGAAGAGGTTTTTCAATTGGTCCTGAAGAAACCTGCCAGGCCGGCAGCCTTCCTCGCTGACATTTAAAGTAGACAGAGTTTGGTGTGGTTTCAATCGGGTTTTAAATGTCAGTTGTCTTTTGGCACGGGGGGGCTACCCCTAGGATGGGTGGGGAAGGGCACTTGGGTGGGGACTTGTTTATCTGGGAAGCCCTGAGGTTTGGGGGGGTCGGTTAATGCTGCTTACAAAGTATGCCAGCCACTTAACTAATAACCACATGTCATTTTCCATCGAGAGCTTAATCAGAGAAACGGCTTGGTGAATATTGAGTCTCTTTCTGGGGGTGTGGGGTGGGAACTGGTTTTCACAGTTTTGAATCTGGGATTTTCCTTAGTACTAGACCGGAGAGAAAGCTATCGTGAACGCTATTTATTTAAATGTAGGTTTTAGGGGCGCCTGGGTGGTGCAGTCGGTTAAGCGTCCGACTTCAGCCAGGTCACGATCTCGCGGTCCGTGAGTTCGATGCCCGCGTCGGGCTCTGGGCTGATGGCTCAGAGCCTGGAGCCTGTTTCCGATTCTGTGTCTCCCTCTCTCTCTGCCCCTCCCCCGTTCATGCTCTGTCTCTCTCTGTCCCAAAAATAAATAAACGTTGAAAAAAAAAAATAAATGTAGGTTTTAAGTCTCCTGTAGGTGCAGAGCCCTTTAAAAAAAAAAAAAAAAAAAAAAAAAAAAAAAAGGTGTTTGGCTCCCCAGTGCCTGGAAAGTACCTGGAACATAAGAGATGCCCAGTGAAGTTTCTTGGGAGAGAGGGAGAGGGAGGGGTTGTCTACCACAGATACAGGAGATGATATTAGGTGGTATGCACAATGACGTTAAGTAATACTGGTCTTCGTGGCTAGAATGTATTTTCCTTTCTTTTCCTTTCATGCTTCGGATTGTGCCCAGGGAGAGTCTCGCTTTGAGCCACTGTATCTTTGACACTCCTGCAGGACTTGGAGATCTCCCTTGTTTCAGAAAGAGAGAGCACGTCTCGAACTTAGTGTCTTCAGCTAGGAACACTGATTAGAATTTCATAAAATTTTTTTTCTTTGCCTCAAGTTGATGGTTGAGTTACATTCTGTTTATGGCAAATGATGTTGCTATAGTTTCATTTTTAAAACATATTTATGTTTTAAAAAGTGGACTGATTTAAGAAAAATAGTATGCAAAGAATAACAGTTTAGGGGACCCTGGCGATGGCCAGATGGTGAAGGTGGTTCAAGAGAGAGTCAGGTTTGGAAAGCCCAATGCTGGGCACTGCTTGAAGGTGGGCTGGTTCCAAAGCCATGCAAGGAAGAACTGTCCATGAAGGAGGATGGAAGGGAGGAGGGAGGTCTAGGAGGGAGGGCTATAGAGACCAGCCTTCACATTCAACTAGCAGACGTGCTGTGAAGAAGGAAAAGTCTGAATGGGCTCCAGAAAGAACACGCCTCCAGCAAGGAGGAAGGAGGAAGTCCATGGACAAATAAGGAACAGAACATGAGGGTGGAGGTGAGACCCCAAAGGGAGAGGTCGATGAATGGGCTCTTTGGGCTCTGGGCTTTTCTGTGTGACATGAAGGATCGGGTGCCCCCTCCCTGCCATCTGCATTTAGCGATGAACTCACATCTCCTGGGACCCAGAGAGATCCCTTCTGGGTTGGGTTGGGTCGCATCTCTCCAACCCAGAGATCTCTACTTGCAGAACCTTCTCTGTGGCTCTGCTTTTGAAGGTGAGCATTCTCATTTTGTAGCTTCAAGGAAAGATTCACTGAAGGGTATCTTCAGTCAGGAATAATGAAAATGACCTGAGGTGAAGGCAGAGAGGAAGCAGGTGGGGAAAGAGTGCTTATCTTGTGTCTGCACACAGAGAAGACCGGCCATTTGATCCACAGAAGCATAGAGAGATTTCCATAAGAAACTGGCGGGACAAAATCTGACATTTCCAGTGTTGAATTTTCTCTTTCCCTCTGTTTTGGGCCTGGAAGGAAAGCCGGGGTTTCCCAGGGGAACTCTATCATAGAGACAGCTCTGTGGGATAACTGTTTCCTTAGAACTTTGGAAATGATGATCGGAAGTGCTCTACATTTTTCTATCACCTAATTAATGGTTAACCACGTTGGTGGTGCAGGGCATGGGGATGTGGGGGGGGGGGGGGGAGGAGTGGCTGCAGATAGAGTATTCTGTGCTCCTGTATCTGCTGGCTGTGTTGTGTTTGTTGCAAGTTTTTACCCCAAGCCTGGAAAGTTAAATTCCCTTTGGTGAAACTAGAGTTTTGCTTGATACAGAAACTCAGTTTCTAGTCAGTAGCTCTGAACAAGATAGTACCTAGGGAAAGGGGAAATTTAGTCACCCCAGTGCCCAAAGGCCACAGATGGCCTGGTAGTGTTTGATCTAAATACTTCCATTACTGCTCATGTCTTGTGAGAGCCCCAGGAGGCCAGTCCCTCTTAGCTCATCATTATCGGGGAAGATTCATTAAGGGCTTGTGGCACATGGCAGAACCAAAGGAGGAGACCCATGGAAGTGTCAGGGTCACCGTGGAGTTCGACATTGAAGACAGAGCAGGGATGTGGATACCTCTTTGCAGGTACCACACAGGGTAGTGTTAGCTGAAAACCTGAGTGGATGGTAAAGGCTTACAAACAGGCCCAGGATAAGTATACTTTGTAGGGACAAAGCTGGGTGGGACTTGTAAGAATCCACAGATTCTTCCTGGGTGGAGAGATGATAAAGATTGGGGAAAATCACTTTCATGTGATTTTTTTTTTTTTTTTTCCAAACCCAAATTGACTAGAGGCGAAAAGTTTCAGCTCCTCTTTGGTCAGTCTGGGAGG